GTGTTTATCGCTTTGAATTAAGTGTATGTTCGTAGTCAACTTAATTCAAGGGTGACATGTGTAGCGAAGTAGGCGAGTCAACGGAAGAAAGTGGCAGCGAAGACAAGCAAAGTATTCTAGAAATTCTGTCATTGCCACGGAGATGTAATGAAAGGAGACATGTTCTGGAATCTGGATGCCTGCCACACACAAAAAATAAAACTGAAAAGGCATCGGCGGAAGGTGCCTAAGAGTGAGAGGAGCGAATTCAAACAAGGCCAATCACAGAGGATGGATGCCCTGGAATGGGCCCTGTGACGTAAAAATCACTTTGAAGTAACAAAAAGAAACGTAATACTGAATTCCATACTAGTTACCATGGCTAAATGAAATGAGCATTTGAACTAGTATTCAGTGATTGTCTTCAGAAATATCGCACCAACTTTTTTGTGGCGGTACGAGGTTTATTGGCTCCGACCTTTAGTTAAAAAGAACGATTGTAATGTGATGATGCGTAATGTATTTTCAAAGGCCAATTTTTATTTTTACCATAAGTTCAACGTTTCGAATGCTGTATAAAATGTGTAGATAATTTTGATGCTTTCATGTTTTGTAATTAATTATCTTGAATTAACTACAGCTTGCGTAAAAAGAACACGTTCTAAACCATTCAGAATGACGTAATCAGGCATTCAAACAGTAATTGTTTTCTCGAAAAAAAAAATCCAGGCTACTTCTTTTCAGGCTTCCAATTTTTTTTTTCAGGCAGAACATATCATAGTGTCCCTGTCGCAAATTGGGACAGCTGAATCAATAAAATTACTTTAGAGGGCAACAGGTTTAAACCGTGCGTGTGCCAAAGTACATTATTATTATTATTATTATTATTATTATTATTATTATTATTATTATTATTATTATAGTACACGTCATTTACACGTAAACAAATATATAATGTAAATAATAAAAAAAAAATCATTTCATAATTTACTGTATTCAATGTAGAATCTCTACTATTTTTCATTCAAAGCAATGTCACTGATAAATCGGCAAACTCATATGTCCTTTATTTTTTGGGTAACTGATGTTTCAGACATTTACATACGTATATGTGATCTGTTATTAATGCGGACTGTGTGGAGGTAACACAACGGTTTAAAAACAATAGCAATGTAGCCTGTTAAATCACAGTCCCAACCCCATATTAATAATACCACAAACTGAATATAAATCAATCCTTTAATCTGTCTTACATCCCCGGAAAGTATTGATTGGTCCCCTTTATAAACAACAGAGTTGTACGGTATTAGATGTAAAATCTCAATTTCAATTTTATTGGGGGAGCACAAATTATCGCCAATTAATTATAAATATTCATGCGATTATAATGCAAAAATATATCATAACGAATAAACATGTTTTTATTTCACACACAAACTAGCGTGATGATACCATGACGTAACTCTTACGTAACAGATAGTATGTTACGTCAAAGCTATAGGTCATTATTAGGGGGTAATAATGCTCGAATTAACGCGTTTGAGTAAAATAATGCGGACTTGCTATCAAGTTCTGTTGCAACTGCACACAATTGTTCTTGCTTAAACTTTTTTATATTTATGTGAAATTTAAATTTTAAATTTGTAGGCCAAACATGTTTGACATTTACATGAAATAACCGAATAACAAATAAAATGAATGTCTAGCATAGTATAACCTCGCAAGATGCTTTTGTTTTGATATATTTTGTTTTTGACTGCTGGCTCCCGGCGTCCTTTGCTCGTAATCTGCGAAGAATCCTTCTGTATCCTGTCAATGTGACACATGTCAGTCTATTGCGAAGTTTGAAATTAAATGATTCTGATTTTATAAATTTTTGAGTATTAGATTGGACGCCTACTTAGAGAGAAGGTGAAGTGGTCAGCCATCCGTCCATGATGTTGATATGTGCATCTGCCAGGGGCGATGACGTTTTCTCTTTCAAACCATCGTATTATTGATGCAAATATCACTGGTAAGCAATGTATCATATATTGTATTTTCAGCGTTTTATTTCAGGTTTTTCAATGAGAAACTCACATTTCAAGTTTATATGGATAGTCATATGTTGAGCGAATTATTTACATTTTGTATTTATATGTACCTGGACGATGCATTTTATGTTCACGCATTTTATGACTTCATACTATATGATTATTTTGATGTAAATATAATTTTGTGTGTAATTCTCATGTAATTCTTTTTATGCGTAGACTGTGTGAGGTTGTTATCTGAGATTGATATAAAGTAGCAGGATAGACTCTTTCTTAGAACAAAGTTGAAGACTGTGACAAGAACAATACTAGCGTCCATGTAGGAATGTTCGGTACCAGGCGTTTCCCGGCGTGAGTAGAATTTTATCAGTCTGTCTAAATAGACGTCATGGAGAAAGTGATTTCAAATGGGTATGCAAAAGAAATTCTTGAGCGTGTGACACCGAAAGAGGGGAAGGAATGACATATAACCCATCTGTTGTTTATCATCCTAGAAAGTTTAACAACATATGAGAGGTCTTCGATTGTGTCGCAAAATGTGGCAACACATACCTAAATAGCGTTACTTCCTGGGCCAAACGTAATGAATGATCTAAAAGGAGTTTTAATGAGAGTTTCCTGTAGACTTCTCCAGTGACATTGAGTGCATGTTCTATTAGGTTAAGGTAGCCAAGAGTCAACAAGACCAGTTGAGATTTTTATGGTTTCAAAAGAGAGACTAGCCGAAAGCCCAAGATCTTTCGCATGACACTACATGGATGGACCGAAGTCAGTAGACGATATTCAGCACGCCACTGGTGAGAGAACTGAAGGCCTTGTACAAAGAAAGGGGCTTTAATCTCACCAAGTGGTCAAGTGATGAGCTCGAAGTTTTGAAGTTGAAGATCGATCAAAGGAACTGATGATCTTGAACTGAGATTCACCATAGCTTCTGACAGAAAAAAACAAGATGTGTGTTATGGAAAGAACAGACTTATACGTTTCATTTCAAGTGCCACATTAAGAAGACAGAGACCACAGTAAGGTCAGTGCTGTCTGAAGTTAGTTCAATTTATGATTCTTTGGGTTTTATTTATCCACTTCTCATTCCAGCAAAGATAGTGATTCGAACAAGAATCTAGATGAGATTATGAACCAAGTGAAATCATGCTTACCAATTGGCAAATGTGGAAGACAAAGATTGAGGAGTAAAGATTCTTTGATCCTATATGCCAGCTAAATTTGGAAAGGTTGCAAAAAGAAAATTGATACTAGTGAAACTGGATATGGTTGTGTTATCTACACCAGACAAGACAATTTAAAGGGAGATGTGTATTGTTCGTTTGTGTTTGCCAAAGGAAGAGTAACTTTATTGCAGAAAATTAAAATACCAAAACTAAAACTTATATAAAGATGGTTAGAGTTCAATATTGACAAAGTAAGCTACTGGACAGACAACAAATCAGTTATGATATGAGTCATGAGTGATCGAGAACGGTACCACACCTTTGATTCCAACCAAGTTCAAGTCATAAGAAAGCTTCTGTTCCTGAATAGTGGCATCATGTGGATACCAAGCGAAATCCAGCAGACTTAGCGTCACGAGGTGTTAAGACAACTGAAAGGTTGAATATCCGTAATTCGTTTTGTGAACCAGACTGTATGCAGCAAGAGGAAACAGAGTGGCAAAATCAGGCGTTTTCACACTAATAGGGAGGGGTGACCCTATATGTGAAGACTAGCTGTGAAACCATTTATTTTGATGACATAACACCAAAGGTGTTACATAAAAGTGAAGTAGCAATTATAAAGACTGTTCAAAGGAATGCATACAAAGAGGACATAGAAGCCCTGTCCAAAAACAAGTCTGTAACAATGAGAAGTATGACACAGTGTTAACAGATGAGGGTACTATCCGTGTTGGTGGGCGACTTTAGGAAGCAGAGTTGCTTTATGAGATTAACAATCCAATATTGCTGTCAACGAACACACAAGTATCAGTAATGGTGTGCAAGATGTGCATTCAACTGTTAGCCACAGTGTATTGGCTGAATAAACGAGATCAAGTTGTATCATCATAGAACATAATATGTTTCACATGTTTTATCCCAGCGCAATATACTCATATATATTGGTTGATGGAGTAGTAGAGACAAAGGACAAAGGAAGAGACGTGCGATCCTGCTGACTGAAGACCCATACATCAATTAAAAAAAAACAGTCGCTAAATTCTGTATTTTATTTGAGGCCAAACTAAATAAGTAGTTGTGTTTAAGTTGAGTAACAGCTGTAAATTCTGTACAGTCGATATTTGATCTCTTCATAGCATTAGAAATGTTTCATTATTTTCTGTTCCAGTATATGTGGATGTGAGACATTGTTCTTTATAATGTCACTGTACCCTGCAGCTGTTGTGTATACGTTAATCATTTATACTTTCTTTTTTATGAATTTTATATGCCCATGTTTGTATATTTTTGATTTTTGAAATGCTGCAAGTTATTTACCTTTGCATATCTTTGTAGTTAATCGTATGCGCGTAATGAATGATTACGTATTGGAAATACACATTAAAGACAATATATCCCTGAAGTTGGGCCTCAATGATTTTATTTTTTGGGATTGATTGTGTGAATTAACCCGCACTGTGATTACCACATGCAATGCACTGTGATACTCCCTATGTATACATTCTATGTAAAATATACCGTGTTACTCACATAATCACCTGTATTTTTTACTTTGCTACTTGCATTACACGTGTACATTATGACGTTCTTCGTGATCATTATATTGTTATTTCCGTTGTCCTCTATACATTATACCACACTACTCCCATTATCCCCGTACCTTACACTATTGCAAAAATACACCATCTATTATAACTTGTAATGTAAAATAGATGCGACGGAATGGCGCAGTTCCAAAACTAATAAATAAATACTAATAGCATAAATAATATTAACAATATATAATTATATGTAACAATCGTCATGTTTAAGTTGTAGTTTAAAGATGAGTTTCATTCTCAGATTTGTTTGTTGGAACATTATCATAATTCTTATCTCCATTAACGCGATTCTTAATCATCCACCAAATCAGTGCTTTGAAGATCAAACTAACGACCTTAATAGCTAAAAGTACTAACATGTATTTCATGCGGTATTGCGGTATGTCATATAACCAACAAGCGCCCTCATCGCCACATGCTGTCGTTTCCCACAACACACATGTGGAATCAATGGTTGCTCCAATAAACACAGGCGTTGGAATCCAAACTGAAAGAATAATAAATAAATAAATGAGATTAAGTTGTATTAAGCATCATAGGAAAAATATTATTAATAATTGGAATGTACTTATTACAGTAGCATAGTTCCTATTGAAATCACCAATTAGTAAAATTGACTCTTAAACTAAATATTGACCGGGCATTCATTGCTGTCATAACTTATTTATACACCGCCCAAGTGATTGACAGTGTGAGTAACTAGTCGGTGATGGCGCCACTGCTGGTGATTGAGTAATTTCAAGACAGTGACGTCATAAGGCAAGTGTGGGGTCTGAGTTGTAGTGTCAATGTCGAAGGTTAAATCCACCACAGTCGTCACGCAGAGCCTGTTGGAATGTTGGTATGTAATGTGTTTAACAAGTACAGTATACGTCTCCGTGCACAAAATCACGCAGTATGGCAACTGTGGCATTTTAACCAAAGTGATTTACCTAATAGCTGAGTAAACACATCTTGAACTCCAAGTGCAAATGTTTTTTCTGCTGGGTCAACACACCTACAAAAGAACATGATTGTTTGAAGACGTGAATTGAGAAAAAAAGTTGCTTTCATTTAATTAATGATAGTTTACTCGTATGGCAAGTAAAGTTGTATGGCACTGTATTGTGTAGTGTAGTGTCCTTTTATTGTGTTTATTTTTGGAATATGGGTGAAATAAGACAATCTCGTAACAGTTCAAAAGCATAATGCAACCTCGAAGGCACCAGTTCACACTTAAGGGAGTTCCCAAAAAATAAAATACAAGATTTAGAGCGCAGAACAAGTTATATTAAACAAATATGTGCTGTTGTGGTGTTGTGGTGTATAATACTCTTGTGCTAATGGCAATACACGTGTGTACGTTGAAATTTAAAACTAGAACAAAGCAAATTTCTGTTTTAAAACATTTCGTAGCCGAGAAGAGCTTGGTTCCATCACATGTACTTCTTTTACACCGTCCATGAACACTAGGTTTTATCCCAATCTGACAATCAGCAGTCTCCAAACACAGTTGCAGTTCACTCTGATCTCCCAATCTACCAATCAGCAGTCTCCAAACACAGTTGCAGTTCACTCTGATCTCTCAATTTAACAATCAGCAGTCTCCAT